CATCAATTCACAACTTTTTCGGACTTTAATTGGAAAAATCGAATGATTAAATAATCTATTCACAACTTCAAATGGTTACGAGTACAGTCATAAGATATCGGTGGATTATATGTTTTTATTCCCAAATAAGATGGAATAAACCAATACCTTGGCTTTGTTGGAGCATACTTTTTTATTATTTCATTTATATTTATAATGGATAATTGATTTGGAATTATTTCCTGCAAATTACATAATCATCGTGTGTGTTATCTTGCTCATTTACTTGCTTTCAATATAAAGATTCATAAACTTGGATGTTTACTTTGTGATTTCGTACTGCAGCTCTCTTGAGGGACATGCTTACTCAACTTTGCTTTAAGAGGAATTGAACATAGCAGGTCAAATATTATGTCAGCCTTTCCCATCCTCGACCCAAAGAAAAATAGGGAACGTCGTTTTTTTCTCCTTTTTTTTTTAGGTGCTACTGCTGGTGACTTTTTTACATAGAAATAATTGGTCCAGCATTTTAAGCAATTTATTCCTTTAATTTCATCAAGATGTAGGTCGAAAGTGTGTGTGTGTAGGATAAAAACTATAATGTAATGGCTGGCTTATATGCTAAGTGAACTTCCTGGTTTATCATCATAATTCATAATCCAAGTTCATAAGTTTGCGACAGTGCTGAGATTATAAATTATCAAAATTATTCAATGGATCCATAAAAACTATATTAATCGACCGTTCATTTTTATTTTTATAATTTTTTTCCAAAACATTCTTGCTTCTTGAAGTTCTCGAGTAATAATCATCTGAGATTAAGGTTGTAATATTTTCCTGACTTGTAACTTTATAATTTTGTGCTTATTCAAAGCACAAGATGATTTATTAAACTTTGTAATCATTGTGCTATTGAAATGCTTTTGCACTATTGAAATGCAAACGACGTTCATATAGTTACAATTGATGTAAATGTAATCAATCTAATGACGATATATATTTTCTTCCTTCTGAAACAAAGTGCTTAAGATCGTTGTGGTACAAAAATGTATTAATTTTAATTACGAAATTGAAGTCGTTCTTGAAGCACAAAACGATATAGATGTCGTTCAAATAAAAAAAAGTAGAGTGAATAACATAACGTTATTGAAACCGTTCCTGTAATAAAAAACGATTTCTATATCGTTTCAGTATGAAATACACACTGCTTAACTTATTTTGGTAACTTATTTTGGTAATGATATCAAAGTCGTTATGACTATACATAAACGATATATAAGTCGTTCTAGTACAAAAAATGCATTCATTCTAAGAATGACATGGAAGTCGTTCCTGAAAGTCAAAACGATATGGATGTCCTTCCAATAAAAAAGTGCACTGAACAATATAACGATATTGAAGGCATGACGGAAAGTTGTGGATGGTCAAATCTACTTTTAGCTAGAACGATATAATTATCATTTTATATGAAAAGAAACGGTATCTATATCGTTATACTTGTAATTTAAATTGAAACGATTTCAAACTATTCAAATTTGTACTAAAACGATATAAATGTCGTTACTTTATTTGTGATTTTATGCATAACGATATCAATATCATTTTAATACAAGTTTGACAACGTTGATATCGTTTTAGTTTAAATCATAACTAAAACTACACGCATATCGTTTCAGTTAAAATAAAACGATACTTATATCGTTTTTGCTAAAAATAATGATTCGACCGTCCACGACCACCGAACATGCATCTGACATATGTAGGACGATCAAAATAGGTAATCAAGTGGGTTCGATCTCCCTTAAAAGAAACTATGAGAACATTTTTGTTTTCATGATTGTATACCATCTTCAAACTATTCAGACAGAAAGTATTTTCGTTTGCTCTTTCCAAGTCATTCGAGTGGTATTAACCCACTTGATGACCTCTTTCGATCGTCCTACGTATCCTAAAGGTATGATGGGTGGTTGTGGACGGCCGAATCGTTATTTTTATCCAGAACGATATAATTATCGTTTTATATGAAAAGAAACGATATCTACGTCGTTATACTTGTGATTTGAATTGGAACGATTTCAAACTCGTCAAATTTGAACTAAAATGATATGAATGTCGTTACTTTATTTGTGATTTTGATACATAACGATATCAATATAGTTTCAATACAATTTTGACGACGTTGATATCGTTTTAGTTTAAATCATAACTAAAACTACATGCATATCGTTTCAGTTAAAATAAAACGATACTTATATCGTTTTTGCTAAAAATAATGATTCGACCGTCCACGACCATCGAACATGCTTCTGACATATGTAGGATGATCATAATAGGTAATCAAGTGGGTTCGATCTCCCTTAAAAGAAACTATGAGAATATTTTTGTTCTCATGATTGTATACCATTTTCAAACTATTCCAACAGAAAGTATTTTCGTTTACACTTTTCAAGTCATTCGAGTGGTATCAACCCACTTGATGACCTCTTTCGATCCTCCTACGTATCCTAAAGGTATGATGGGTGGTTGTGGACGTCCGAATCGTTATTTTTATCCAGAACGATATAATTATCGTTTTATATGAAAAGAAACGATATCTACGTCGATATACTTGTGATTTGAATTGGAACGATTTCAAACTCGTCAAATTTGTACTTAAACGATATGAATATCGTTACTTTATTTGTGATTTTGATACATAACGTTATCAATATCGTTTCAATACAATTGTGACGACGTTGATATCGTTTTAGTTTAAATCATAACTAAAACTACACGCATATCGTTTCATTTAAAATAAAACGATACTTATATCGTTTTTGCTAAAAATAATGATTAGACCATCTACGACCACCAGACATGCATCTGACATATGTAGGATAATCAAAATAGATAATTAAGTGGGTTCGATCTCCCTCAAAAGAAACTATGAGAACATTTTTATTCTCATGATTGTATACCACCTTCGAACTATTCTAACAGAAGTATCTTCGTTTGCTCTTTCTAGGTCATTCGAGTGGTATCAACCCATTTGATAACATCTTTCGATCGTTCTACGTATGTTGAAGGCATAATGGATGGTTGTGAACGGTCAAATCGTTATTTTTAGCTAGAACGATATAATTATTATTTTATATGAAAAGAAACGATATCTACGCCATTATACTTGTGAATTGAATTGGAACGATTTCAAACTCGTCAAATTTGTACTAAAACGATATGAATGTCATCACTTTATTTGTGGTTTTGACACTTAACGATATCATTATTATTTCAATACAAGTTTGATAATGTTGATATCATTTTAACTTAAATCATAACTAAAACTACGTACATATCGTTTCAGTTAAAATAAAACGACAATTATATCGTTTATGCTAAAAATAATGATTCGACTGTCTATGACCACCAGTCGTGAATCTGGTATATGTAGGATGATAAAAATAGATAATCAAGTGGGTTCGATCTCCCTCAAAAGAAACTATGAGAACATTTTTGTTCTAATGAAAATAAATGATATCTATGTCATTATCATTGTGATTTGAATTGGAATGATTTCAAACTTATTAAATTTGTACTATGACGATTTGAATGTCGTTGTCTTATTTTGTGAGTTTGATACATAATGATACTATTATCGTTTCAGTACAATTTTGATAACATTGATATCGCTTTAATTTAAATTTTAACTAAAACGATAATCATAAAAACGACGATTCGATCGTCCACGATCAATTATATGTAAATTTTAATTACATTTAATATCGTAGTTATAACGTTCCAGTGTAATCACTTCTGAAACGATATGTATGACATTATAGTTACGATTGAATAGGAACGATATCATTGTCGTCGAAAATTGTGAAATGACATAAACGTTGTTTATTTATTCCATAACGTGCGCTTAAACCTGTTAAATAGTGAAGTAATGTGTATTCGATATCGGAACGATATATACATCGTTTTTTGTACTTCAGGAACGAGTTTAATGTCGTTATACAAATCAGTTAAGCAGAGTGTATTTGATACTGAAATGATATCGAAGTCGTTTTATATTTCAGGAACGATTTCAATGTCTTATGCAAATCAGTGAAACAGTGTCAGCAGCTCATTTCCATTCCACATTTTTATTAAGTTGATAAGTTATATTTTACGATTTCTTCAAACTGCAATATTTTTGTGCTGGCTTATTTGAATCGACTTTTTCTCGAGTCGAATAGTTCTTATTAATTACAAGCTTTAAAATGAGTACAAATCGATATACTGCATCGCTTTTTATTAAAATCTAATTATTGGACTTTAAATAAGATATAAATTTAAAAAATATTTTTTTCTCCATTTTTTTTCCAAAATATAACGATAAATTTATTTTAAAAAATTTCGTGTGTTATAATATGTGTCTAATGAATAAATGACTCAATAATTATTTTCGACTAGTTGTTAAGTTGTGGACAATGTTAAAACTTTGGTTGTACTGGAGATCAATTACGAAAAAGAAATGACCTGAAACTTAAAAAGAAGAGTTCGAATTTTAAGGAGAAGATGATTTTGAAGAGGAAGATTTTTTGAATTTAAAGGAAGGGAATGTTGTGTGTGTTAGAATATGAATGCATAGTTATTAGAGCCAACCCGATGATCAACTAAAAAAAATTACCGGGTTAATGGTTCACTCGGTGGGTTATTGTTAAATTTTAATTTTAATTAAATTTTATTTTTGAAGTGAGAATAAAACAATTTTTGAAATGTAATATATATATTTTGCTCATAGGAAACAAAGAACCATCATTTGCCATAATGGTTGTGGAGTTTAAATATTTTCTTGCATTCCAAGGTTCAAGTCATGGCTCCAACAAATTTAGAAAAAAACTCCAATTTCTTCTTCATTTTTGTTTTACAAGTTAAGGGTAAAGAAGTCTTTTGACACTTTTAAATAATTAAAACTCCTTTTATTTTTATAAGTTTGGTCAAAGGCCAATTGAACAAAATGTATATTAAAGTGGCTTTCCCAACTCATTTCCCCTTTCCTTTACGTGTTGTTTTCATTCTTCTCCTCTTTGCCTAATCGATCTTGTTTACAGGTTTCAGCCGATGACATCGTCATCAGTCAGTCATCTTCAATTTCCACCCAAACCCTTTTAACCTTCCCTTTTCAAGTGTCTTAAATTTAAACTTTTCCCAAATCACCTATTCGAGTCGTCGATCGCTACCGCCGCTCTAATCCCTCTCCAGACCCAAGTAATTTGACAATTTCATAGATGCACCCATGATTAGTACTCCACGTTTACCTCCAACGTATGGAAGGTTTCTACATTTAATGATCCAATGAAGGCTTTCGGTTTGTTGAATTGCTATTCCTTTTTATTTCATACGAACCAATCACATCTAAAGCCTACAATTTTGCTGCCAAAGGTCGAGAGACTTCACATTGGATGGTAAGAACAAATAATAGTAATTCTTCATATCCTGTCATTTTAATGTGCACAAGTTCTTGCATCCTCTTGTATATGGTGAATATCTAAAAACGATGCAGAATATTGTTCCGAAAAAGGCAACCAGAGGTTAAGACGGTAAATGATCCTTTGATTTCGTGTGCATAAATCAGTACTCCAGTTATAATATGGAACCACATCGAGATAAGACAAAGCCCCTTGGCTACCAGTAGGATTGGGAAGTTGGATTTCCTTGTAAGATACTCTCGTGCTTTTGTTTTTGACATTGGAATAAATATTTACATATACTGTATAATATTAGCTTGTCCGTTGCCTCTCCAGATGCTCGTCATGTAGTGCCCGCAGTCATTTCGAGGGTAACTTAGCTCAAACTATATATTCTACAAAACTGAGTCAAACTTTTATTAAGTACATTTTGTTGATAAAAATGTCACTATGAATTAGTTATAATTAGGTAGTGTATGATTTGACCTATATTGTACCGTGGAGTCTGGACATAGCTATTAACTATGTTAAAGAGGGCTTTCGAAGTCCTACCATGATTTTTGCTGAGAATGGTGCATTTTGTATTAGATATTTATTCGAGTTATGTGTTAAGGTGAAAATTTATCAAAAATACTAAATCACGTTCATATGACTATCAGGAATGGATGATCCAGGGAACTTAACTCTCAAGGCTTTGATACCACAAAGATCAACTACTACAAGAGCTATTTAGCAGAATTGATGAAAACAATCATTGAGGAAGCCAACGTGATCAGGTACTTCCAATGGACATTGCTCGATAATTTCGAATGGAGACTCTTTTGCTCTTTTTTTTTTTTTTTTTTTCCTTTTTTTTGTATAGAAAAATACTATGCTTTTTATTGATTGGGTGATACAAAGATGGGTTCTTTCATAGTGTTTTTGGTGTTTTCGTGTACTTTTTTTTTTTTTTTTTTTTTTTTTTTATCAAGGTGATCGCTTTCGACGACTATTTTTTAGGTCTGTGATCCGGCCCCTCTTCACACAGACTAATTAAACCGCGGGATGTGCCTCCTACTGACCACTGTCCGAGCGTCTCTCCAACTGAACTGCCAAAGTGCCTAGTAAGCCAACCCATGTTGCGCTTTGCCTTCCAAGACATTCCCGCCTTCCAGGATAAATCCTGCCTTCCAGTATATGCCTTGCCTTCCAAGAGCCCCACGAATCGAACCCACGACCTCTGAACTGCCAACCTTGAGAGAAGATATGGTATCCTCGTGAAATGACAAAACTAGTTAATTGTTTAGTCCACATCATATAACATTCCTTTACCGAGTACCGTTATGGTCCATTGGAATTATTTTGGAAGCATTTGAATTATTTGGAGACAGTTCAAATGCATCATCCATTGAGACCAACACCTTCTATGTGTTTAGAAGTTACTAAATTTTTAATGATTAAAAGTGTTGGATGTTTTTTGATTCTCTGTTGCGTGCGTAGTTGACTTAGTAACAATGCTTCTGTCTTTCATAAGCTTCACTATCATCGGTTATACACCATTTGAATAATGATGTCTCAAGTCTTATACTTACATAATCCTAGTTTGCTGGTTGTATTTTTTTTAAATAATATTTTATACGCTTTCCTAGAAATTGGTGTTTGGTAAAGTTGATTCTGTATTATATGTTTCTTCTCATAATCATGGCTTACTTTGTCGATTGCATTATTGATCATTTTTCTTACGGTTTATGATTTGAAATTCTTACTATTATTGATTGCTATTATGTTATATTCCACTATCTTTATTGAACACAATGGAGATTGCCCATGCCATCAGAAAGCTGCCTCCTACAAAGGCTAAGAGGTATTTATAGGACGTATTGATCCACAAACAACCCATACCCTTCACTCGTTTCTGTCCAGGTATTGGATGAACAACTCAGGTGAAAAACAGACACTGTAAAGATAGTCGATGTAGCTTGAATGAAGATGGAACAAAGGATGCAAAACAAGCTGAAGGTTGTTGAGCAACAATTCAATTCTACGTTGCAGTCTTCGCATCATTCTATTGACCAACTATTTGGTAAAGTTCCTAGTTTCGTTGTACCACCGTTTACACCATTGTCAATAGAGAATAATGCTAATGAGGAAGATGAATGTTATTGAGTACGAAGAGAATAACTTTGGTGAGGATCGGTTGCATATCTAATTCACGAGGATGAAGAGTTATTTCTTTAAGTGCATTATAATAGATATAGAGCATGTTTGCTATACCTTTTTTTCTTTTTCCATTTTTTTTAAAATTTAAATGTAATCATACTTAGTGAATGGTTTTTATTTGTGTTTCAATGAAATATTTTGGATTCAATGTTAGATTGATTGACACTATATGTCTTAATTGAAGTTCTCCATACGAATTGTTTCATAATAGCCTATAAATATGCTTTCTCTATGAAAATTATTTGTAGAGAAAAACATGGCTTAGCCAACAAAATAATCCGTTCCATGTTGCCACAAAAACTAAATTGTTGGAAAAAAATGTATATATATTAGCCCACAAATATTCTTTTCACACAAAAATTTATTTATAGGAAAAAAATATTATTTAGCCCACAACATAATTTGTAGGGAAAAGCGAAGCCGTTTCGTGGACAAAATTAACTTTAGCAAACGAATGATTTTGTAGGGAGAAAACTTACGCAACATATTATATTCGTCTCCAAAGAGTTCGTAGGGAAAAACTTTAGCCCACGAATTTTAAGAGTTTGTCGTCTTATACCTATTCCCTCGATGTTTGCTCTACAAATGTGCCTACAAAATTTTTTCGTCTGCAAATGCTTTTTCCCATAAATAAGAACATTTCCCTACAAATAAATTTTATAGGGAAAACATAAAATTCTTGTAGTGGATAAAATAAATTTAAAAAATAAATAAATAAACGGATACTAAATGGGGCAAGGGTCCTATCTCACCCCCAACCCTCCCCCACCCCCGACCTGACCCTCCCCGCCTTAAACGGGCAACGGGGTGGGCACAGGGCCGGAAATTCCCAGACAAGGGGGGAGGGAGGTTGCCCCGTGACTTCCTGTTGCCATCCATAGTGTTTTATCGCCACTTTAAACTTTTTTATAGTTATCAAATAAAAATAAGTACAGTAACACAATCTAATCATTTTTACATTAATCGTGTTTGATATTCGACCTCATTACTCAAGAATCTCATGATTACCCAAAAAGTAGCACAAACTATCAAATTCTACAAAGACAAACTAAGAAAAATTGTGTACCAACACACAACTCAACATCGAAAAATTTCCAATCGAAAATTAGCTATGCATGTATAGAAAACTACAAGATACCTGAAATTGAGAATTTAAAACATCAACCTAAAAACAAAAAATAAGATTTGTATCATAATTTCTAAATTTTCTCAATTTATGTGAGATTTGTAAATTTGTAAATTGTTCATTAAGAGGGCAGCAATTTTAATTTTTGATTTGATAATTTGTGAGAATATAATATAGAACCCAAATGAACATGGGTTGATAGGATTTTAAGAAGTTCAACATGGAACATGATCAAAATTTAAACTGAAATGATAAAAAAGAACTCATATATTGAATCACATACTTCCAAAACATCCATTTCAATGTTCTTATAGCTATTTTCGATATCTTCGGTGTACTTACTCAAATTCATACATTTAAACAATATAGTTACTACAACCTAAGAATAAAAACCTTAAAATACTCTCCAAATAGACCCAGGAATTTCTATACAAACAATGCAAAAATTAACAAAGAGATGAAATAGATTAAGAAAATGACACGGCGAAGTAAAAAAATTTAACAGGAAAATTTTTACCAAGTATGTGCTTAAGGGATAAATTTCATATTGATTAATTATCGAAATATGGATTAATGTATAAGGTTTGGATTACCCATCTTAAGAACGTTGAGCCTTTAAGATGGAGCCCAAATTAAACATAATATCAGAACGAATTAAACTCAAACATTATTAACAACAAATCAAAGCACAAAATGGGAAAAAGATGCATTTGGAGAAGAAAGTGGACCATCTCCGACCGATTTTCATCAAAATAGTGCAACTTTCACACCATTTTATTTAGCCATCTTCAATCCATTACACCAGATGTTAAACCCAAAAAAAAAAATAATAATAAATAAATAAATCTCTTTCTTTCCTTATTTTTTAGTTCAACGACTATTTCATTTCGAAAAATTATTTAGTTACATATTCTATTAGTAAAACTAATAAATTAGAAACTAAATTTTATTAATTAAAATATTTCCTTTTATATTTTTTTATAAAAAAAATCATCACATTTAATACCACAATTAAAAAATATATTAGATTTAAAAAAAAATTAGTTTATGTTATATTTTACTTTAAATTCTAGTTTTCAATATTAATATTGTTGTATATATAATTATGAAATCTGTAAATTTTGAACATTAATGAGTAATTTTATTTTTATGTATTCGGTAGTCATTATTTATTCATTTAATACAGTTTAGTATAAATGTTAATAAAGATAAAATAAAAAATATATATATAAACAAAATTATATTATCATGCATTAAAATGATATAAAAAGAATATAATAGGAATTAAATTTACTGTAGCATAAAATGAAGGACAAAATCAATGTATGATCAAATAAAAAGTTAAATTCCGTAATGAATCTAAACGTATTCCAGTGTAAAATTTTAACAAGTACATTTGAAAGGTATATTTTTGAATGATCAATATTGATAAATATATCTAAATATGCCCTTAGAAGGTAGTCTTTCTTTTGTTTGGATCTTTATCCCGGTGAAATTTGCCTAATCCGATTTCAATAAATATTTGTTTAACATTTTAGATAAGATAAGGATTCAATAATTTCATACGTATCCATATTCTTTGCAATACAATGCACTATTTGTCGAGCAATGAAGTGACGTTATTTAAGAATGGAAATCGACTAATGTTGTACGTTTCTAATATTATTTGAACTTGTGTTGGAGATATTGTTAGCCAAAATTGCAGAATAATATAATTTTATTAATTACAGTAAGAACATAAACAGAAAATTTTATTAAAATTGTAGAATATAACAATAATTTTATGGATTAAAATTAAACAGAAACATGTAATTAAATTTGCAGCACTATTTCAATTGCAGAAAGAAAATGAATTTGCAAATTAAGGCCTGTGAATTACATGGTTTCTTTAAGATAGATTCGCGCCGTCACTGTGAGTGTTTGAAGTTTCGTACGAGCTTGTCTCCCTGGATACAACGAAAAACTAGTAGAGTCTAAGCACTTCAGTTTCTACTCCGACCAAATGAATTTGTATCAGAATAGTACCACTAAGATTTAGATAGGAATGAAAATTTTTGAACAAACACTGAACTAGAAATTATGCAAAAAAGTATGAAATTTTTCTTGTGTGGAATAATGGATAAACGAGTTGAATTATAAACTTGGCTCATGAATGGTAAGTAAAATCTGTCCATAAACATGCCATTAACTTGAGACTATAATGACAATGACAATGACAATAACGATTAGAGTTTAACAATTTCAAAAGCTAAAAAGTCGGTTGGAGAAAGCAAAAATTAGAAAATAAAAGCAAAACGTAAATACTTCTAAGGGGCCAATATTTGCTCTTTCGATCAACATTAGTGTATGCAGGTCGCACTCAAACACAAGTTTAATACTCATTATACAATTTTGGTCCTTGATTTACAAAGCTGTGCGCATATATGGAGAGAACCTTTATACTATACTTGATTACACCCTTCCAAAGTGTCGTCATATATAAAGTAGTCTTCGCTTTCATAAACTTCTTATGTGAGACAAATTTAAATATAGTTTTCCCTTCAACATAAGCCATCTTCCAACGGTCTATTTTATGATGGATGAATTTTGTGAATAGTGACGTCGAAATAAGTATAATGATGGTGACAAAGCCGAGGCAAGAGTTGGACTCTTTGTCCTTAAGTCGAATTTGCCCCGCAACGGTGCCTACGGATTTCGGCAATCGACTCCCAAGATATAACGGCTACACTTGTGTTTGTAGCACTCCAAAACACAAGTACAACGAACCAAATTTAGGCTTATGTACTCCAAGGATGAAATGAAGAAAAATCAAAATAAATGAAATGATTTTGATTTTGGACAGAAGAGAGGATGAGAGACGTTTTGCATATCAAATTGTGTGGAATAGGACACCCAAAGGGTCCTATTTATAGACCATGAAAGGGTGTGGACGAAATGGTTGAGGCCAAACAATGCACCCTTTCCAAACAATGCACCATTATGAAAATGTGTCTATTCACTGATTTTCGTCCTTTTTCGTAATTTCTCATTCATCCGATATTGATTTTCGAAATGCCAAATATACCCTTCAATACATGCAGAGAAATCAAAATCCCCGTTTGTGCGCCCCGAAGTGGCAAACAATTTTGCCTAAACGGATTGAGTCGAGCTTTTGAGTATTTGGCCGAAATCGATACGAACTTTAATCGATTTTCAATTCTCGATTTATTTAACCAATATCCAACATTTTAAACTTCAATTTCTCATTTACCCATTTATCATTTTTGGCAAGTAAACATATAATTTTGATGCTCTCATGGAGAAAATATATGGATCAACTTTGATATTCCAAATTGAACCGACAGATCCCAACTAAAATTGTATCTCAACAAGCTATTTTTCCAACAATCGCCCACACGAATGAAAATTAGGAGCGACACTAAAGCACGAGACATAAAGACTTGGTGATACAGTTCAGTGGTTGAAACCTACATAGAATAGGTAGGCATTACCCTTTGTACCTCCCTTATGGAAGTATATTTACTTTAGTAGCTAACTTATGGACACAATGTCTTTGAACTACTTTGCCTTTTATGTAAATCATGATATACTCTACACATGCTTCTTTCTAACACAATTCAATTCTCATTATTATGTTCGCTTATAGCCATGAATCTATGCCTAGTTCTACGAGAGTTTCTAAGAACTGAATCTCACACTATTCCCTTAGAAGCAGCCCTTTCTTCTCTCTCACATAGGAGATTTTTTATTGCAAGTAACATACATTACTTCGCTCTATTTTCAACAAATAAAAATCATTAAAAGCCTATTGTATATCTTCATCTTTACAAACATTACTATTACATCATAGGAATAGACATGAGATAATATCCCCCAAAATAATTAAATTAAGTTTTTATAATTAGCTTGTCCATTTGAACCTGAA